GGATATGGCTTTCTCATAGAGAAAGCTTTGTGTGCAAATAAAAATTCTGGAGTAAGCAATTTTCAAAATGCACCTTAACTCATATAGTCTCTTCTATGAGGTTGCCCAAATTTTTAATAATCACTTGCCTTCATAATGACGAAGTAATATCCAAATTTCCAATTTGCATTTTTACAAGTTAGAATGAGCAATGTCCAAAATTTTAATTTGCACATTAACTCAAAAAGCTTTCTCTATGAGGAAGCCAAATAGACATTGAATAGACAACTTGCCAAAATGTTAATGTTACATTTTGCAAATTTCCAATTTGCACCTTATAAATAAAAAACAACTTGCCAAAATGCTGATGCTACGTTCTGCAAATTTAAAATTTGCACCTTTAAGATAAAAAAATAGTTCAGACGTTAAGGAAGCAATGTGCAAATTTCCAATTTGCACCTTTAAAATAAAAAAAATTGAATAGACAACTTGCCAAAATGCTGATGTTGCATTTTGCAAATTTCCAATTTGCTCCTTTAAAATTAAAAAAAGGCTACATGATGAGGAAGCAATGTGCAAATTTCCAATTTGCACCTTCCCCCCCCCCCCCCCCCCCGTTTTAATAATGACCGTGCGTGCATGCGTGAGTGCGTGCGTGCGTGCGTGCGCGCGCGCGCGCGTGTGTGTGTGTGTGTTTGTGTTGTATATGTGACACAACTAATTGTAAGTGGAACATCAGAGGTGGTGTTCAAATCCTATCTTGGAAATTTTAAAAGTTATTCAGGGATAATGCTGGCGGTACCGTAACTTTCAAACCTCATAACTCAAAAAGTACTTAACGAAAACATACTTTATTATAGCGTTTTGGAAAGCTATTGAAATAAGCTACAAGAATATGTAATGAAAAAGGAGGGTTCCATATAAAAATTTCAAGGTGATCTTTAGATAACCTTGATAAAGCTATTCAAGGTCATACTGATATTACTATGAAATGCGCCACTAAAAACGATACAACTTCAGTGTTTAACATTTTTTCTATCTTGGATATTTAAAAAGTTATTCAGGAATTAATACGAAGTACCGTAAAGGACCCCGCACAAAACACGGGGAAATTCGGTCCCGGCCAAAATCGATGAAACTGTGCCATTTTGTACTTCGAGTCATGCTGATCAAAAGTTGCCAAGGGCACAACCAGATCCTATGAGTGGGTTTAGAGCTACAGAGGCTCAAAAGCTCGGAAATGAGGCCACGCCATAACGCTAGTTGTCCTAGACCTAGACTTGTTCTGGATTCTCATCGGTACGTGTGTACAGTGTGTGTGCGTGCGTATTGCGTGTGTGTGTCAGTAGAGTAAGGACCCTACGGTTCATCACTCCCGTAGTATTTGACGACTCCAAACCCTCTTTACTATATGTGCGTGCGTGCGTGCGTGCGTGCGTGCGTGCGTATTTCTCACCTGTAGTTCATGAACGACATAAAAACATCATTCCACTCTCCAGTCTCAGTCCGGAGCTTGAACCTTAGGAACTTGCGATCACGTTGCCAGTATTGTGTGGTACTTAGGTTACGCTCGGCATCAACCTAACGTCAAATATCCTGATAATAGTTTACTTAATGCAATAAGGAATGCAAATAATGCAATTGAAGGAAACGAAGACGAGGATCTTGAGAATAATTGTGACTGGAGAATGGAATGATTTTTATATGTAATTGATGAAATACAGGTGAGAAATACGCACGCACACACGCACATGCACACGCATACGCACGCGCACACACTGTACACACGTACCGATGATAATCCAGAACAAGTCTAGGTCTAGGACAACTAGCGTTATGGTGTGGCCTCATTTCCGAGCTTTTGAGCCTCTGTAGTTCTAAACCCACTCATAGGATCTGGTTATGCCCTTGGCAACTTTTGATCAGCATGACTCGAAGTACAAAATGGCACAGTTTCATCGATTTTGGCCGGGACCGAATTTCCCCGTGTTTTGTGCGGGGTCCTTTCAATCCTCATAACTCCAAAAGTACTTAACGAAAACATACTTTATTATAGCGTTTTGGAAAGCTATTAAAATAAGCTACAAGAATATGTAATGAAAAAGGAGGGTTCCGTATAAAAATTTGAAGGTGATCTTTAGATAACGTTGATTAAGCTATTCAAGGTCATACTGATATTACTATGAAATGCGCCACTAAAAACGATACAACTTTAGTGTTTAACATTTTTTTCTATCTTAAATATTTAAAAAGTTATTCAGGAATTTCAACGTAAATATACATATATATGTATGTATAAACTAAACCCTTGCACCGATTATCATCAAATACAATACCAGCCATCTTTTAATCACACTCAATAAATATACCAAAGTAGAAGGCGATATCTCAAAAATTGCGAAGGTGAGAGCGCGAACAATTATTGCGCGCGCGCACGCACGCACGCACGCACGCACGCACGCACGTACGCACGCACGCACACACACACACACACACACACACACACACACACACACACACACACACACACACACACACACACACACATTTTTTAAATAAGTGTGTTTTTTTGAGGTTTTAAAACATTCTAAATCCATTGGCATTAAAAATTGGAAAAAAATTTTTCGCATAAAAACAAAGCTTGGAAATATTGCGTCAACAGATTCACGTATTCGATTCGATGATTATTTTGCTTCCTCATAGAGGAAGCAAAATAATCAATCTGCTGACGCAATATTTCCACGTATATGATAAACTGCGTTATATCCTGAAAAGAAATCGGCGCGTAGTACTAATGTGAAAAGAAACGGTATATAGATTCACGATTTTCAGAAAGATTTAAGATTTGCAAGTTGGGCTACCTACATCTTGCCTTGTGACCCACATTGGCTTGTTACCATATATTGTTAAATTGTTAATATTTTGTAAAATGTATCTCCGTGATCTATTTTGTGTGCGTTTTGCGCGGCACAAAAAATGCTTTTATTCTATGCCACGTAAAAAAAATATTCAAAATATACTGATCTGTAAGATGTTAAAATTTTTAATACTAGCCGCTTCTAGTCTTACAATAGTCTGACGCATTGCGTAAATTTTAAAAAATTTTCATAACTCAAATATATTTGTTGTTCTTCATTCGCACGGAAAAAAAAATTAGCTGCTGTAGCTAAATAACTTAGCAAAAAATGGACAGCTAATATTTTTAGTTGTGATAGCAAAAATTTTAGCTATCACAACTAAAAATATTAGCTGTCCATTTTTTGCTAAGTTATTTAGCTACAGCAGCTAATTTTTTTTTTCCGTGCGTCTTTCAATATATGATATGATATAAGGCTATGATCTTTACTTACAACAGCGCATTTCTGTGATCTTGATTTTCTCTTGCCGAGCTTAAAGTCGGCGGCGAAGGACATTGCCTCGTAAACAGTAAGATTTGGTTGTGTGATATAGTCTTGCATGATGTAACACGATAACTTCTTGAATTTCTGCACGTCTCGCAGTTGTCCATTGATACGTATCGAGCCACCTATGTCCAAGCATCTGTAACGGAGTAGCTTTATTTCAGTTTATTTCCATATTGAAATGGACAGGAAAAGACATCGCACGTTTTTATGACGTATCAGTAGGCTTTTCTTTGTTTGCCACGTTCAAACCTATATAGTATGCAATTTGATGTAAAGTAGTTAATTTTAATATCTTGGATTATTTAACCATTGTGTCACAGGTTAATTCCGAGGTCCACAATCATTATAATTCTTCGCGGGCAGAACTTTGCATAAATGTTGACATATAGATAATCCCGATTAATATAAATATATCTGTGATAAGTTAGCTAAATCAGAGTTTCCCAAAATAAGAGCAGCCGCCTTTCTGAATACTGGAGAGATCTAGTGGAGGACGTTGCTGATCCCAGGGATATGAGTGGAGAGTTGACGGGAAAGTGGGCAAGTAAAAAGTTGAAAAAATGTGGTCTTGTAAACATTTTTTTAACTCGTCCTGGACTATACAGTCAATATTGTATAAATATTATAAAATTGATATAATATTTTATTGGAGACATTGTAAAATATTACTGCTGTGTTATAATGCACTCACAAATCTTGTATACATTTTACAAAGACCGTTTACAAATCTTTCAGTTAAAAATATAATATTTAAAAATCTGGGATAATTTAGAATTGCCCAAGATATCCTAAATAAAGTATGCTGTGTGGGTTACGTTCAAAATTAATTTTTAACATTTAATAACATTTACTTAAGATGTGTTATGTACCAGTATATTACATAGCACAAAGGATGTGTCAGAGTCAGAGGATCACCGTTAGTCTAACCGATCATCGAGGTTAAGCAACATTGATTGAGGTTAAAACTTGGATGGGTAACCGTGATTTTACGGTTCTTTACATACGACCGCAAAAATGTGTCAGCTCTTATGATAATCCTTAAAATCCGGAATTAGTTCATAAATTTTTTTTCTTTATTATTATTGTGATATCCTAAAATTATGACTCCAGGATTGTGGCAAACTTTCAGAAATATTTCATGCAATATGCCATCAATATCGTGCTGTAAAGGATTAGATTATGTTGGAAAATATGTAACACATATGTCTATTTTACGTTACTGTAACATTACTTGAAAATGTATATGTTACATAAATGATATTTTTGAAGTTGCTGACATACAGGTAGAGCTATATCAGCTACGCAATTATATGAGTAATATAACATGTAACATTTTTAGGTACTCATGTTACGTAACATTTATATCTATAAATTAATACCGCTGTTTTGACGTATCTGGCTTTTTATTCACGTTGTTACATTAACGACGTTTCGATCGTGAATTACGAACCTCTTCAGGTTTTTACAAGAGACAAACAAGAGCCAGATACGTCAAAACAGCGGTATTAATTTATTGATTAACAAACTGGCGAGAAGAAATAACCACATTTGCAATTTATATCTATGTTACGTGTTGTGGTTTGCTTGGTTTCTATCTTGTTCTCTAAGAAGAGACAGAGAATCAATTAACCTTCGATTAGCATTTAACCGACGTTTGTGAAACTGGCCCTAAGAGTGTAACTGATATGGCCAGACTCTGATTAGAGGGTCTCTATCTTAGGATCCAACAGCGTTACTTTGTTCTTTGCACCTCTTCGCTTGCCGCTCTAGCGGTTGTTATACTTTTAATAACATCTTTACTGATGAAATGAAATTAAATGGTCGGTAAATGTAGATCACTAAAAAGAAATTGTGCATGTTGATCATTGTTTTGTTTACGTTAGTTGCTTTCTAACAGATGATCTTATGTAACCACGAAGTAATTATAGTACTAAAATTATATTACATTATCAGAGATTTCTTGTCGACATTTAATTAAACTTCAATGACTAACAACACGAGGATGTAATAATAAAATTAGTCAATTTAACTCGCTAGACAATTAAAGCATTATTAGGATTCACGATTATACGGACTTGTATTCTGCAAGAACGTTGAGTAGCGTCGATTTTCCGGCACCAGAAGGACCCATAATCGCTGTCAGTTCACCCGACTTAAATTGTCCACTAACTCCCCTCAGAAGCAGTTTCGATTCTGTAAATTTAACAAAAAGTCAAGTGATATTTTAAAAGTGAATAATTCTTTGTAATTACCGTATAGGAAACGTTTGCTGTATAAGACAATGTGTTGCCGTATTGACAACAGAGACGATTAACAAAATAATGAAATACCATTTTAGTCGGAGCATTTATTGTAATAGTTGGTAGAGTTTATTAGTAAGATTACCCTAGTGGCACAGTACATTGAACAAACATTGGTTAAACATTAGCCCAATATTTGGTTGTGTTGGGCCAACGTTTAGCCACTGTGCTACTAGGATATGCAGATGAAACTATGCGTTATTATTATTATTTTGTAAGATGCATCAGTTCACACATAATGTTTTTCGTATATCTATTTTAACTCATTCGCGATACATCCGGATCATTTGATCATAAAAACATCATTCTTTTCTGAGTTTATCGAAGTTTTTATCACGAACAAGGAAAACTCGATTATATGTATAATTTATTTGATTGATGATTGAAATGCACGTAAAGATCGACACAGATTACACAACACGGACTGGCATCGGCACGACAAAACATTGGAACATGCGTTTTAAATGAGACTGTATACACGAAATGGCACCGATCTGCATGTTCTGTCAACGGAACATACCGGCGCTAACTGATATTCTCACAAAGGATATTGAGTCCGCGTCCATCCGTGTCTGTGCGCATTGGTACGTGTCGGTGATCTGTTTATATACTGAGACCCATTTTGTTGAATGAAACAAAATTTAGTTGGAAAATTTGGTTAGATCGACACACAAATTTAGTTGAGTGAACATGCGCAAAATCCTTTTATAATATTCAACTAAACGATTCAGTCAACAAAATGATTCAATCAAATTGTTTCGTTTTATTCAACAAAATGGGTCTCTCAGTGCAGTTTTGCTTATTTTACTGATTGTCGCGAAAAAACTGAAAGAACTGTCCCGGCCCGTGACAGGGTACTGTATGCCGGGCTATCGTGATCTCGTTTACAAGTTTGGAAAATGATTGATGGCAATGAGAGAGTCGAATCTCCTTAAGGATATTTAGGCCGGTATTTCTAGTCGAATTGGCTACGGAATATCTGAAGATGATCATGAGACTGTCTTGAATATAAGATCTGACTATAAATACTGTCCTTAATGTTATTTAGTCAAGTTATGTGAAACGCAAACTCGATTATACATTTTATTGTCTGAGCAAGTTCACGGCTTTTGCTGACGTTTTGCATTATTGAGGCAACCAACTTACGCAGCAAAAATAGACGTCAGCATATTTTTTTAAAATGTCATCCTTTATTTGTTTTACACACACGTACAAATGCATATCTGTGCACTTTACATTATAGAATTTACATTTATATATTATATAATATATAATTATATAATAGAATATAAGATTGTTATATATTTCAAAAAATGAAAAATATGACATATTTACACGGAAAAAAGAAAATGTTATATCAACAACATCAGTATTAATAAATGAAAATCATTAGACTGACATTAGTCTTAATAATTTGGATATTTAATTCTGTACTTATCTTAAAATTAAAATCCATAGCAAAAACAATTGAGTGAATTATGTATGTTTGTAGCAGCCTGTGACGTTAATGTTTAATTCGAACAACTTCATTTTGCTTAATTCAACAGCATTGTTTTCCATGTATGTACATTCTCGCGTGGTGCGATGTTTTATTATATTAAGTTGATGTACAAGTTCGTCCCGTTTTTACACATTCGCGCACTTTATATACGAATTCGATCTGCTATCAACTTCACACTTATATGACTTATTAAACATATGAAAGTAGCAATTGAACGGAAACTTTACTGTTAAAGTTGTCGTCGATTGATGTTTGTGAGTTGCGTTAATTTATAAAGATGGATAAAAACAAGCATCATTTCGGTATATTATACTTTTTTATTTTCGAAAGGGCAAAACTGCTGTTCAGACCAAAATAAAAATATGTTCTGTCTATGGAGAAGATGCTATTGATGCTTCCATCGTAAATCAATTTCGTAATGGAAATTTTAATCTCACGAATGAGAAATGTTCTGGATGGCCTTCCAAAATTGACACTTATGAAATATTGGCCTTGATTGAAACTGGTCGTCATAAAACAATTCGTGAGATTGCTGATATCACTGATTAAATGTATATCGACAAAATATAATAGGTATGAAATGTTTGGTTTAAAAACGGGACAAACTTATGCATCAACTCAATATATGATATTAACATATAATTTGTATTAATAAAGTGATGTGGTAATAAAATAATCTGTAATTAATATATAAAAATGATATAACACAATTGAAAAATTTGTGTTAAATTTAACAGATATCACATGTCCCAAACGGTCCACACAAATTTTTGTGTTAATTTAACATAATATGGATATGTTAAATAATCACACTAATACTCTGTTAATATTTTAACACAAAATAAATGCAAATCTCAAAATAACTTGAAATAAATTTGGTGTAAAATTAACATATTTTTAATGACAAAATGAATTTCAAAAATGTAATTTTTACATTTTACAGATATAATAAGTCAAATGACGGTTCGAAATCACTTATGTTATATAGAATAAAATCAATGTTTTATTCTGTAAATTTTAACAGATAAATTTTGTTACTCATAAAATTGAACATATGTGTTGTGTCAGATTAAAAAATAATTTATTTTAACATTTCTTTCAGTTATTTTAATAATTTTACATTTGAGGTCAATTAACACAAGAGCAATATGCTATATTGCTCTTTATGTGTTAAACATTTAACACAAAAATTTTAACCGGCATTGTTTTTAACAAAAAAAACAAATTTTTTAACTGTATAGTAATATGTATCAAATTCATATAACCAACGGTAAAAATCAAATAAATAGGAAGAAAAACTGTGCAAACGTCGTGAACAATATCGACAGTTGTCGGTGTACGGAATAGAGCCCCAAGTAGTGCGATTCTGTAACTTTGCGCAGATATAGTACCTTAGAAAAGCTGCGCAAAGCGCGTAACGACGACATATCGAGTTACAGAATCGTGATAAAACTGTGGTCACGAGTGCTCATCTACAAGAATGTTACACCTGGTATTCTTACATCATGCGTCCCGCAATCGGCGCGCGGGAAGTTGTTTATTCTTAGTCGTTGCGCCACGTGTCACACATATGCAACATGCAACTCCTCGCAGGCCTATCAATGCCGATCGCGGGACGGCCGCATCTTGCCGCGTACTTGAATTGGGCGGTAAGCCGAGCTAAGATAACGAATTTGAATAATTACTAACTTGCTAACTATTGCGAAAATTGTAAAATGGTAGAGGACTTTTCAACTCATTGTCAGTCTAATCCGCTCTATAAATAAGAAGTGAGGCGGATGTTACATAAGTATACAGTCCTGTAATGCCAATATAATTAAAAGTCCATTTTCTCTAGTACATTATGGACCAGATGTTCTCAGGATAATTACACATTAGTGGTACTCATTTTTCTCAACAATCTCTTAAATCCATTAGTCTTTTTATAGAAGCTACGTAACTCAGTTTTTATTAACGACTTTAATTTATACTATTCGCTAACATTCATGTATATGAAGTTGTCAGTAAGAAAGAGTTTAAGGGTTTAAAATACATATTTCTCTCCCCCTCTCTATTTCCTCTTCGTAAGGAATGATTGGTATTAAAGAAATTTATTACAATTTTTTCAAGAGCTAACAAGAGCTCTTTTCCTACGTTTGTATACTTAACAGGTATATAAAAGAAGACTGCATACTGGAAAAAATCTTGCCATGAGAGCGTACAAATTGCGAGATGCTATTTTTTATTTAGATTATTGGTGTATGTAAGAATTGATAAGGATATAACTTCAGAAAGAGCACGTGTTGCATATAATTATAGTTTAGTCATATAAGTAGTCATATAAGTATATAATACAGTCATATAAGTATAATTAGTGTACTATTATGGGAAATAAGTATTCTGGATGGAATAGTGAGTGTGTAATCAATTGTTTCGGTTATTATTTACGGTATAAATTGTTCAACGATCTACGATACTTTAGGATACAGAATAAATAATTTTGTGTAGAACACACTGTAAAAAAATTACATGTAAAATTGCAATTATTATAGTGGGTAATCTTGAGACCATATCTATTAAAGATGAATATTTACATACGCCAATAAATTTACACCTTGTAGGTAAAACTATTACCTTATATGTATACTAATCAGGGTTGGGTAGTGTCTGGTTAAAAAGATAAAAGTTAAATTAAAAATTATTCATAAATAAGAAAAGGGAAAGGCTTAGTGATAAAACTATACAAAACCTGGAAAAATATGGGCAATATGAGCCGTCACAAGATCGAAGGTGATAAGAAAAGTGTATTAAGGTTGATAATGTGTTTTTTGTAGAAATTAATGACACATTGTCTTTCCACCTTCGATCTTGTGACGGCTCATATTGCCCATATTTTTCCAGGTTTTGCTAAGTTAAAAAGTTAAATAATTTTAACTTAACTTAGTTGCATTATAAATTGTTAACTTTTAGCTTAATTTAGTTATATTTTATCGGCAACTTTTAACTTTTAATTTACCTTTTTTAAAATTAGCCATGCCATAAACAAAGGCATCGCTAGACGCCGCGCGCCTGTCTAAATTGGCAATTCCTGTGTTCAAAAATTCATTCCCAGCACTGAAAATTTACAGTATACGTTACATGCACTATAAATCTTCAGCGCTGGCATTGAATTTTGAAACACAGCCATTATATGGTACTTTGATTCTCGAACTCGCATGAATTTGCATATAAGACCATATTCCGTGTAGTGTGATTAGTCGTCCAAACGCTGGTCGTGAAATTCAAAGCAATTTACGTGATCGCGAGTCTCTAAGATTTTGTGTAAAAATAAAACAAATTTTTTAACTTTTTAATTTTTTATTAACTTAATATCTATATAAAATAATAATTAACTTTTAACTTTTTAATTTCTTTGTATTATTAACTTAACTTTTAATTCAATAAATTTCATTATGGGTTGACTTGTATCTTAACTAAGTTACATTTTCAAAGCTGTTAACTTTAATTTAACTTGGTTAAAAAAATAGGTTACTTATCCCAACCCTGATACTAATTTTGAAGTAAAGATGATTTCTAAAGGCAAGAATTTATGCCGCGTAACAAAGTTATTTATTCCGTAAAAAAAGAAGCTATTCTGACTTAGGATATTAAATAATTAAATAACTTGAGATTTTTGTATCGTATACAGTTAATTAAAGACCGCCCACAAAGTACATAGCGTTATTCCTTATAAAAATCTGAGTCTAAAAGTCCTAAACCATTTTTTTCTATCATACTTAATAATGAATGCTTAATAATGAATGCTTAATAATGAATGAGTTAAGTCAATCCACTGAGTGCCGGGCATTAGCCGACGGCCGAGCACTCACGCATACTACCATGCATTTTCTCACTGACGTGCGCCCGGCTAAAGGCCGGTACTCAGTGGATTGACTCGTTCATTATTAAGCATGATAGAAAAAAATGGTTGAGGACTTTTCGACTCAGATTTTTATAAGGAATAACGCTATGTACTTAGTGAGCGGTCTTTAATTAAG